GCTTGCAATACTGTTAGGTCTTTAAATTGTCCAAAAAAAAATAACGTCTGACAACAGCGGAACTATTGTAGACCATAATTGTATTAGGGTCGTATTTTGTTTCATTCATAAAATTCCTTCGATACAGTACTAGTCCAGGAGCTAGTGAATTTTTTAAGTACTTGTTTTCCGGGTCCGTGTATATTTAAATAATCTTTTCCCAGTGAACTGTGTATTTAAAATGGAACGCCAATCTATTAACAAAAGTAAGCCAGATTGAATCCGCGCATTACGCCACATCGATACAAGTGAGATTGTGTACAAAGTGCCTTTGCAGGTCTATTTTGCCCATTTCATGTATTTGTTTTTAAATCATGTTAAATTACTATTTTTGAAACTCAACAAGAAGAAAATCCAATTAACTCTTCCGTTGTGTATATATATAAGATAAATTAACTGTAGTTTTATTAGTAAAGTATTAACACTAAAATTTTCCATAAAAACGACCCCATCTCAAGCAACTTATTTTCACTGATTTAAGTTATCGAGGCAGTTTTATTTTTGTTTTAATAAATTAAAAGTATTCTTTATCGTTAATAACAATTTAATAGATGAGAAATACGTTTTTTACATTTTTAATGTAATTTACAGAAAATAGCTAGGTATGTATTTGTTTTTAAATAATTTGACAATTTATGAAAAAAGGGAGTAAAAGTGGAATGACCAGTGGCCAGTAGGTCAGTCAGTACAATGTATCATATATTTCTATTATAACATTACTAAAATACCTACATCTTTTAATCATAAGGGCACAAGTTAAAAACCATTTTAATATATGCATTAGAATGAAGTAATGATAACTTAAAGAGACGAGGTCTTAAAGTAATAGCTGGTACAGCATGTTTTTTAAACCTTTCCTAGTTTCTGCTGCGTATCCAACGATATTGGCGTTCCACAGTTCACTGTATTTTCCTCACACCTCTAGTATAAATGATTTGACATAACGAAACTAACAATAATTATACCTAATGTAGAGTAATAAGTGTTTCGTGAATTCTAAATAAAACAATTATTATATAAAAGTGTATTTTCTTCTGTAATATCTTCAATTATTAGGTTTAATTTCTATAAATAAACCAACTGGTTAGGTGAAACATTGTGATATATAATTTTGTTTATGTGTCCTATGCGTACACTTAAATATACAAAACACCTGGAACATTCTTTAAATAATTGTGGTCGTAGAAATAATTGTGTACATAACTCGTTTGAAAGTGTATTTTATGCACTTGCCAAATATATTATCCATACTCACAGAATAATCAGACTATTTTTTTACTTAACTTCAGTACATCTCTTACTACTAAAACTATTTTTATCAATGGAAAAAAAGGGCCATGTTCTCGTATGTTTTGACGCATTTTCGGCCTCAGCCCATCGGATCCCCCCTCTAAATATATATGAATTTTGCTTAGAATTGCTAATTCTACAATTCTCTATCCGTGCTTGCTGACTGGGAAAATAAATACCGAAAATCGTCGCTGTCTCCTGGACTATAGAGTAGATGATGATGAGGACTTCACAACAAATACACTTTTATGAATGGCTAGTTGGGGATGTGGTTGCAAATTAGTTGCAAAATATTGGTACAACTTTGGTGTAATTATCATAACATGGTAGGGCCAACTTCACGCACTTGGATGACGTACAACGATTATAATTAATTTTTGAGTTATGATTTTAATACCAGAGCATTCAAATTCCTTAGAAAAACAGAAATTGGACAAATCAACCAAACTAGTAAACTATATCACATTAATAAAATACTGTGACAAATACACTGCTGAAAAAGGATAAGCGATCTTAAAATTCGACAAACTGTGAAAGAAGCTAAGTGAAAATAGTACGGTTGCCAGACATCCCGCTGTAGGCTTAATTTTTCCGCTTTTTCACTTGCTGGCACGCGTCACGCCAAACTACGAAAATTGCCACGCTTTTTACCTAAATGTCACGCTTTTTACTCGAATGCTATGCTTTTTATATCCAAAGTTAGAAATTAAAGGTTTTTTAGGAGGACTTTTTTGTAAAAAAATAATCGAAGCACCCTTTTTTAGGTCTCCGCAAAACAAGACCTGATTTGATAAAAATAACTGTAAATCTGACAACCCTAATAGTCCATATTATTTCTTTCAGTGGTAAAACATGTTTAAACGACAACTACTTTTTTTTAATAATTCTTAAAATAAAGGACGTATTTTCGGGTTTTAACCTCAAAGTTACAAAATTATTAACACATTTTCTCTAATTAGTAAATGTATGGCTTAGTTCTTTTCACCACCAATGCGACGACTTTTTACCAAAGAACCCCGCACAAATCTTATGAAAATTGGCTCCCGGTCAAATTGGCTAAAATTTGGATATGTTGTTCGTATCGGCATCCTGAGCAAAAGTTTCAATGGGCACAAAGCTCAATTTTGCTTATTTTGGCTCCTACGGAGCTCCAAAGCTCCACGGATTGACCATTATTTACTACTTAAAAAGGCAATCTCCTAGAAAGTTTAGTATTTGCTGTGTTAAAAAAGAAGTACCCTCTTATGTTTTCGGGGTCGCTGCATTCAAATCCAATGCCAATATAATAATATTGACAGTTGACAGCTATCAAACAACAAGCAATAATCAAAATTGATAAAATCCACATGTAAATATCTGTTTTTGAGGTTGGTAAGTTCAAAACTGATGTTAGCAACTCGATATTGACCGTTGACAGCTGTCAACTAACTGTCAAACAGTATGAGACAATTGAAATTAAGATGTAAGCATATGCCTTTAAGGTTGCCTAATTGTAATCTGATGCCAAAAAGACGATATTGACAGTTGAGTACTATCGTTAATTAAATATTTGACTGTGCATGATAATGTGTCAAAATAGAGGAACAATGAGGTGGCAGCAAGCAAGCTTCACTTGTTTTTAAAATATCGTTTTTCTTACCTTCAGTTTTGAATTCAACGATCTCAAAAATATACGTTTACACGTGGACTTTATCCATTTTGATGTCAGGTTGCTTTGTGGCAGCTAGTTTTAACAGCTTTCAGCAAATCTAAGATAGCAGCTCAATTGCAAAACACAAATATTTTTTTAATAAGTGTTAAAAAAGCACGTTGGGAGTACTATTCTCTGAAGTAAATTGCATTCGAAAGTATATAAATAAAAGAAAGCTTCTTGAAAAATATTATCTTTAAGAATATATACTTTTAAAACTAAAAGTATATATTTTCAAAGTTCAGTGATTATAATATTTTGAAATGCAAGGTACGAACCGAATATTCGTTATCCATCAACTAGTATCGTTAATACTATTCGAGATGCAAGAAACCGTCCACAATAACTAAACTCTAATATTACATTATATTTTCCTAAATGCATTGATAAAAATCTAAAAGACTCAAATCGGGGTTGGTGATAATTTTTCTTCAACTATTCCTAAAATAGGACGATATATACCTATAGTCCTGTATTATAAATAGGTTGATAAAAAATATCGTGAAATCATAAATCCAATAAAACAATCGGCCCTTTTCAGGGCCAAGATGTACAAAAACCGATCGCGCGACCTCCACGTGGTATACATCGGGTAACGCTAATAACGCCGGCGGTAGAAATAAATATTGTGGTGGTTTGATAGTTATTTGACAGCTGTTAACTGTCAATATCGAGTTGTTAACATCAGTTTTGAACTCAGCTGCCTCAAAAACATATATTTACATGTAGATTTTATCAATTTTGATTGTCACATGCTGTTTGACAGTTAGTTGACAGCTGATCACTGTCAATATCGTCTTTTTGACATCAATTTTGAACTCAGCAACCTCGAGACATCTATGTACTCCTGAATTTTGTCAATTTTGATTGTCACATACTGTTTGACAGTTAGTTGACAGCCGTCAACTGTCAATATAGAGTTATTAACATCAGTTTTGAACTCAAAAACAGATATATATATATTTTTTGATTATTGCTTGTTGTTTGACAGCTAGTTGACAGCTGTGAACTGTCAATATTATTATATTGGCATTGGATTTGAATGCAGCGACCCCAAAAACATAAAAAGGTACTTCTTTTTTAACGCAGCAAATACTAAACTTTCGGGGAGATTGACTTTTTAAGTAGTAAATAATGGTTAATTTGTGGAATTTTGGAGCTCCGTAGGAGCCAAAATAGGCAAATTGAGCTTTGTGCCGATTGAGACTTTTGCTCAGGATGCCGAAACGAACAACAAATATGCAAATTTCAGCCAATTTGACCGGGAGCCAATTTCGATTAGTCCTAAAGTAAAGGTAGATAATAGGTTTGTTCTAATACGTGCGAAAACCGTTATATTAACGTACAAATCGTGCGCTTTACCCAAAAATTGTATACAGCGCATGATTTACTCGGTAATATTACGGTTTTCGGGCGTGTTGGAACAGACCTTATAATGCCACCGAGGTGATTCTAAATATACTATTTTTAGTAGGTTTTTGAATATTTATAATTAAGATACCACCTATTTTATTTATTCTACCGATACCTTTAATTCATCATAACTTACGAACCCGACTGTATTTTTTTGTTTTTAATAATTCGATAGAAGTTTTCTGTGTCGGTTATAGCATTGACTATCTCCCTAGACCAAATACCATCGACTATTTCTCTAGAGAAATAGTCAATATTTGATCTAGTGAAATAGTAACCCCAAATATAACACGATCTTGATTAACACTCTACTATTTTTGTTGATAAATTTCTCGAACATTTTACAATTTGATTCTGCATAATTTTGGCATTAATAATCAATTTATTAACGCCCTCTAGCTAAAGCTCTCGGGCTCTAATCAGATTCTTAATGCCTAAAATTATGTCTCATCAAATTGATATTTAAATATTCTCGAGAATTAGATTCAACAAAAATAGCTGACTATTATCAAGGTCTTGATATATTACCCTTGTCTAATATTACTTAAATCCTATATTTTTATTTTAGTATGAGATTCCATAATCCTCTTTATGGAAAAACTGTAGATGATCAGAAACCCATTTTACAACCCGGAAGACATGAATATACAAATCCTATTCATTCCAACGATGAACCGGATGAAGATCCTGCGCAAGAAGCCAGTAAAAAATTGAATACTTGTGATAGCGATATTTGTTAGCATCCAATGTCTGTTTAACATTGTTAATATTTTTTATTTGTGTTTTGTGTTTTAAGAGCTAAGTCTTAATGTAATTATTAGTTAAAATTTTTATTATGTATTATAGTATTTATGAACTGAAAAATGCCGAAGAAAGATTATATGTTTACCTCTATTTATACAGATTTTATAATAAAATTTTATATCATTTTTTTGTTTTATATCATTTTTTTAATCGTTCTGAAAATTATGCATAAATAATAGTTACCGATTTGTTTATAAAAGCAAGTCGTTTTCTAATTGTTTAAAAAATAAATATGTGGCACACCGCTAAGTAGAACCGCCAGAAATGAGGCAAAGCAGGCCCATGGATCTAAATTACGTGCAACACGAGTTTAACGTGTTAATTGCCTTATTTAAAATTATAATTTTTTCTCTTATTAGCAAGATTATAAATCAAACACTATCTTCTTTTTGATTAACTTCTTGTTAAATTATTATTACAACCGTCTAACTCTGAAAGTTGACAGAAACTAAAATACAACTCACTGTTTACACCAAGCCAACTAAGTTGTAATACAAGTAGCAACTTTTTGAATTTACGACTTTGATCGGAAAACTAAATACACAACAGCAAATGTTGGAAAACTAGGAGTTGTATAGTTGGATTGTAATACTTGAGTAAAAATAAATTGAGTTACCAAAATCAGCGTAACATTGGTGACAGCGGTGGGATACAAAATAAAAGTTATCTAAGTATTTCATTCATGGTAAATACTAGATCCACTACGTACGAAACAGACATGGATACTTTAGGCATGGTTTTTGAAGATGGAAGAGGAGAGTGTAACCTGATGGACAATATAACTTTGAGGCAGTGCATCGAAAAGGCCGTTTCCGTAGCAACGCAGACGTTCTTTCAAGGCGAACCTGTTTAAAACGACAGTGCCGATACTGTAAGACTCGAAAAACGAGAGGAGTCGGTCGAAGATGTTAGTCTTCTGGCAACCACTATCAAGCCAGAGGATGACGAAGACGGAATCACACTTGAAAGCCTGAGAAAGACTCGAAAGGAAGACAATGATTTAAAGATTGTGCGAGAATGTGTGACAGGCTTCTGGCTCCACCTGCTGTAAAGTAGGAAGTCGTGTTTGGCGCTGAGGTGATGAAATTAGAACAAGTGCTGCACATGCGCCAGTTTTGCTAACGCAGTTTCATTGCCACCCTGTAGTACTCAAAGTAGACTCAGTACTCAGTAGAGTTAAAAATACTTCCTGGTAATCACTGCCAATGGGGTAGCTACTAAAATATAATAATTGAAACTATACTACCTCACACCTTGCCCCATACGGTATTTCTAAATATAATATTTATTGTAAACTAGTCACAACCCGTTTCTTGCGGAGTTTAGTTTATTTTATTACAAGTTTCTGTAATACAAAATTTAACAGTCATAGATCTTGACTTACAAACAATACATTACTAGAGAAGAAAATTTGTTATTCTACAGATTTTTAATGTTAGATGAAGAGTTAGTAATTTTTTTGGTGAACCGCAATTTTGTCATTGTAAATGTCTTTTATAAGATTCTAACGCTTAGAACAATGGTACCATATCGTTTCTAGGGCTGATAAAGAAATCACTTTCTAGAGATGATGCTGTTATACACTTTTTAGAAGATATTTCCAAATACAAGGTGGCGCAAGCAAAATCAAGTACTCTATGGAATGTTGTCATGGTATCGTTTGTAGTTGACATCTGTTCGAGTTTTTTGTCAGTTGCAAAGTAGATACTTAGGAAATTCAATATAAATCGATATACGCCTCGAGAACGTGCCGAAATCGTAAATTTTTTTTAATAAAATAATTCGTCGATTATCAAAAATTTTTTTTGAACGCCTTATCTCGAAAAACGCCGATATTGCATATCCGCCAAAGTCTCCCGATTTAACTGTTTCAGACTTTTGGTTATGGGGTTACCTCAAAGATAGGGTATTTGTAAATAATCCTCGAACACTAGAACACTAAAAGACAACATCCGGGAAGAAATTGACAGAATACAACCTGAAATATTGGAGAAAGTTATGAAAAATGCTTTAAAAAGAGCTTATTATTGAATTAATGCTGGGGGTGGCCATTTGGTCGATATTGTTTTTAGTGTGTAACAAAACAAATTTTTAGAGTTTAAATAAATATTTTTCATTTTGTTTTTTAATTAATCTTACTTTTATATAAAAAACAAATAGGGGATTTTATTTTGCGCCACCTTGTAATAGGAGACTCTTTTTATTGATGGTACTCTTAACAAAATAAAAAGAGGAAGACCGAAATTAAAAGATGAGGCAATACCATGTACATTCTCAAATCTCCCTTTATGCTTGTATTATAACAATAAAAAATCTGTTAATTGTGTTTTATTTTGATTTTAAAACTATATTTAGGTAAAATTAAAAAAAAAAATTATCCACAAAATTGTACTTAACCAAATTTCACCATTTAACAAACCTTTTCGAATTTGGTCATACCTCACTAGTTTATCAAATAATATATAAATATATATAAATATATAAATAATTTATCAATTTAAACATGCCAGACTTAGAAATAGAAATAAATACAACAATATTTTCTGTGCTAGCAATAAAAAGTTTATTTTTATTATTTTCAAAATTGTGTACAATTCCCATAAAAAGCTCAATTAGCGTTCGCTTTTTGAGACCATATTTCGATTATGCCGATTCGCCTCCTTATCTCTAGTCTTCATACTAGTGATTTTCAAACAAACAAAATAAAAAAATATTGAAGGAAAATTAAATGAGACCCTATACTCCAGTTTTGAGGAACTTCGATAGATGACACTGCGAAACATTTGCGTCAGCTGTTAAACCCAATCTCAGAAAAAAAAATACCAGCGGTTTTCCGAAAATATATATACAGGGTGTCCCGAAATTAGACGGTCATGTTTTAACAGCGTAATATACATCCTAAAATAGGAGTAAAAGTTTAATATAAACATAGATTCGAAAATGTTTTGTTTTCGAGATACAGGGTGTTAAAAGTGATGACACATTTTTGTAAATATTTTCTAAACTTTTAAATATAACTAAGTGAAATTTGGTACAAATGCTAAATTTTTAACGGTCTATTTAGTGGACTAAACGCAAGTTTTTGATCATCTTCATAGGTGGATAAATTAGAAAAGGGACTTAGGGTTAAATTGTTTTTTGTTAACTGTTTTTAACATTTTTGACTACAGAATTTGGAAAACCAATATTTTCTTTATAATAAAGCTACTTTTATTGTATCTCGCTAGGACGTACCATTTTCAAGAAAAAAGCATTTGAAAATTTCATGATAAATTGATGTTATCTTATTCGAAAGTGTAAACATTAATTAGTAGGCCTGTGGAATTAGAAATTTTATTTTTTTTTTAACTTTGGAAAACCGATGACTAAGGAAATTTTAGAAAATATTTACAAAAATGTGCCATCTGGACTTGTAACACCCTGTATCTCGAAAACGTAACGTTTTCGGACCTATGTTTATATGAACTTTTACTTCTATTTTAGGATGTAGATTACACTGTTAAAATATGACCATCTAATTTCGGAACACTCTGTATTATAATAATAAAGTGAAATAAAATAAAAATTAACTAACGCTCTCCGGCTATTTAATAACACGTTTATCGGATACCCAAACTAACCGACAAAATGATTATAATATGTATCTCCTACCTTGACTTTCGTTGTAGTCGGCGATACCGGGGATACTGGGATCAACTTTAGAAGAACGCTGGTAGAAAAAAATATATTTATCTTGAGTTTTTTAATACATTAAATAATACAACTTGCATCCATTACACAATTTAATGTAATGGGGTCAAAGGCGTATCCTTTTTCGCACTTTAGTAGTAGCCACTTGAACCACCACATAACCCTTTTACATTCATGATACTCGTTACATTTTTCTGATGGGTATTTTGCAGGAATCCTACAGAGAGAGGGCCGTCCTAAAATAAAAAACATATTAAAATATATATTTCTCTACTTCTGGATAAAAGTAAAGCAACAATAAATATATGAATTTATTAGTTTGTTGCGTTAATTTTGTCCAAAAGTATACATACCATAATGAATACAACAAACTGAAGATGATTTCAGAAGGCATGAAAACAAGTCATTTGAGCCTGACAACCACTGTCTGAAAATGTATCGTTTATGATTTTGTTCGTAGTGATAAAGCAGTCGACTCACCGTCGAGTAGGAGAGTGTAGGAGCGCTCGCTCTCATGAGTTCGAGAATAGGGTACCATACTCACCGCGAAACGCACAAACCTGCAACATTAACTTAGTGCTGGTGCTCGGTACCCACTCCAACTTTTGTAGAAGTAGTCCTCGACCATTTACATCAGGGACCATCAACAGACATTCCCATTTATTGAAAATGCGATATGGGAGACGCGTTCAATTATGTATCATGTTCTCAAACGGCGGGACTTTTGCAAATCAAGCGGCAGCTTGTCTTCGTCTAACATATCTTGTATTTTCGGACGAAGCATATTATAGATACACTAGGCGGACTTTTCATAGCCACATTTGCGACTAGTAGCCTTTCCAAGAAAATGGGAATTCAATCTCAAAAGAGTCAAAATAGAGTAGACATTCAGCGGAAAAAGAGATCTAAGCCTGAATAGCACAGGACCCGCACTTTTCTTATGCAAAGCTAGATTATCCTGTACTTATATTTAAAAATCTTATGGTTATATGCATATTATTGTAACTTACTCAAAAGTCTCTAAAGAAATGCAAGGTCTCGTTTTAATAATTTTAAATCAATTATTTTTGGTGATTGGATGCATGGCTCACCCTGTATAAAAAGTAGAAATAGCGAAAATTGTTAACAGGTAGAGATTAAGATAATGAAATGATTTATCTGTGTCGCAACTGTAGAATTATTGAGTGTTTGCAAAAATATATTGTGATTTATTCGTGAATCACCCTGTAACAGTATATATTTTAAAATATCCTTTTTTATGAACATCTGACCAAAAATTATATTAAACTTTTATATACATTAAGTCAATCTATCTTTTCAGTTTGAAGAAAAAATAACTAAAATCAGCAATTCTCCACTTTAACGCCCTGTATCTCAAAAACTAGTCATAGTATCGGATTTAAAATCCATACTTCCTAAAACCACATTAAAATTAT